CACGTGACAAGCACCATCCCCTATTCGCCCAAAATACGGGCGACCTTGTTGCAAAACTACGAGGGATGGGGCGGGGGGGGGGCTCAACTCTTGCAACTTGAGGCTCAGTTCATTTGGGGAAATGGAGTGGGCTTGCGACGCGGAGCCGTCGGAGGCCATCGAGAGGATGACTGAAAAGGCTTCCATTAGTTGCCGAAGAAGTAGAAGCCACGCCTAGACCGATGCTTTGAGCCCCTTTCAATCTGCAAAAGTGCGGAAGTGAGTCGACTAAGGGGAGGGTCGAGGCTCTCAAGGTTCTCAAACACGTGACGGCGTCACATCTTTGAATGTTTCCGGAAGCCGCCATGAAGCTTCAGGAGTGTCGGGAGATGGGCAGTATGAAGAACGTGCTGAAGCCGACCGTCTTGCCTTTGGATCCCATCACAGCCTTCTGGCAAGAGAAAGAGGGAGAACTCCAAAAATGCTGCTCTCGACAAGGTATCAGACAGCCCAACCCTTAATTCGCGGCTGTTGGTATTTTTTTGGTTTCTATGAACCCTAAAACCCTAAAACCCTAAAACCCTAAAACCCTAAAACCCCCAACCCTAAACCCTAAACTGGCTTGTCCGAGTGTGAGCGACTAAACCCTAAACTTTGGCCCTAAACCCAAAGCATACCCAAACAACCAAAAACACACCCCCAAAAAACCCTGGCTTCGGAAGGTCAGTTCTCTAAGTTGGGATGCTTGAATGCTAGGTTGTTAGGGCTGTTATAGGCGTGGCACGTGCCGTCCTGCAGGTTGCGATTGGGAACTATCCGTAAATCTACACCGAGAAGTTCAGAGTTGATAGAATTTGGTGGGTTTTCTGTGTTTTCTGTTTTCGCTCAGGCCGCGAAGCAGGAGTACCCGCAGCTTGGCCCAAGTGCTCTCTGCATCCTTTTGTGATTTTTCGGAACAGCTATCGGCTAAGCTACCTTGCAAGGGAGTTCCTTGAGACGCTCCCACCCAAACTGACGCACCTTCCTATCACACGAAGGCAAGGCCGAGAGGAAAGATATTGATGCGCTGGCTTATTGCTCCGCAAATGACAGGATCACCACCTACCAGCCAGTCCTGTTCTGCGCTGACAGCTTGCAGGACTCTGTCACTGAGGATGGGTTTGAGATTTGAGGATTGAGTGCGTGGACCCTTGACTTGTGGAAAGCTTGTTTTGTTTTCCGGCAGTTCCGCACGTGTCCTGTCGGCGGGACTCGGGTGCTTCATGGGACTCGGGTTGCGTGTTCGCAACTACGCCACGCCCATGTAGCCCTTGCAGCCTCAACCGATTGAATGGCAAGTCTCAGATGTTGCTTTCGCAATCAAAGTCCTTGTCGAAATCCTGGACGCAGCTGTGAGGATGCCAAGAACAAGATCTCACACTTTTGCGACTCTTTGACACGGCCCTTCTTCCCTCAATATGTCCCTTGTCCACAATTGGTTGGACATACAGAGCAGGAAAACACGGCTTCGGAGTTGGTTTGAAATGCCACTGTGTTGGAAGTGCTCCTGGCACGGGCCACTTGCAAATTGTCGTAGCATCACTATGCATTGATAGCACAGGAAGCCCAAAAAGAAGCCTGAGTAGCTTTTACGTGCGTTATGTGGTGCCACATGGGCGAACACAGCGAAAAACCAAGCGGGCTGAGGGCCCGCATTGCCGACCAAGGATCCGCTGACGCAAAACATCCGCGTCACCAAGTCCGTGCAGCGCCACTTGGCACTCAGGTTTGGAATGCTGATCACTACCAGACGCCTTGAAAGCCTAGCTGCGTTTACAGAGCAGACCGACGCTCAAGGCCTCTCAGCTCCAGGACAGGAAAATGCTTCTGAAGCCTTAATTAAAAGGTCTGAATGAAGGCCTCAAGTTACTCAACAGTTAGGCTTCGGCACATGTTTGGAATTCAAGGGGAGTGCTGCCCCTCTTAAAACCAGTCAGGCGCGCCCCGCATCTCCACCGTGGAGCTTCAGCGCAAAAAGCAGCAGCTCAGACGTGCTTGGCATAAGGAATGCAGGGACTTGCCACTACTTATTAAGCCATGCTTCATCGTTTGCCCTTCCTGGTACGCGTAATGTATAGAGCCCGCACGCTCGATACTTAATAAGTCCAAGCCTTATGGACATCATTTGTTGTAGCTTGTCAGGCTGCGACAAGGGTCGCAGTGAGCAAGGCGTGTCCTTCCCAGCTGTGGTCCTTGAATGTTTCCCTCGTTGACGCCGCAGTCTGCGGAGTATTCAGAACGATTTTGACCCATGAGGAAAACGCAGCTCGCACTATACATGGCACTGAGATGTGAACTGCGAACGAGCTTCGGGCTTGCCCCGGTTTAGTTTGGTTGGAGCCTTGTTGAAATGTCTTCTGGGTATATGAGTGCGGTTGCTTGATTCCAGGCCTAGGTCAAAGGAATGTGCAATCGTCCCAGGATTCAACATGTCTTGGGCGACAGGTTTAGGGTAAGGAAGTGCTGAGGCGTCAGTTCTTTGAGGAGAAGCACACAGGCTGATTCCGTGGCCAGCCAAGTAAAGAGGCCGCGTGGCAAAACATCGTAGGGGGCTGGCACGGCATTTCCCAAGAAGGCACTGAGTACGTTTTGGAAGCCTGGACATTTCTGGACATTTCTGCGCGGCCTCTGCGCTGAATTCAATATCGCTTGTCCCTGCGGTTGGGTAGATGCTGGTGATTGGCCAGCTTAAGGGCCCCAATGGCTTGGCAGGCTCCGGCAAGGCGTATGGATGCGCTCTTTTGCTATTCTTAACATGTAAACCACCAACCTACAGTTGACAGTTGTGTCAATCTCGGACTTGTTCAGAATGTCCCCTGCAATGTGGCTTGAGTGTCAGCTATGTGGGTGGCAAAACAAGACCCTGGACCACAAGCCCTCGGAGAAGAAGAAGATGAGAGAGAGAGAGAGAGTGAGAAAGTGAGAGAGCGCGATGGAACGAGGAAGAGAGAGGGATTATAGGAGAGATGGGCAAAGAGAGACAGAGGGACAGGCAGGTTGATCTGTACTCATGTGTGGATGCGCATGTGTTCCTGTTGCGTTCTACGGTATCTCAACTGGGAGGTTTTGTTTTTGCCGGTGCTGGGAGCCATGAGGTCACTGATCTCCTCCCTTTGTCGCTATGGAGGGTTCATACGAGAGCCATGATGATGCATTTAAAGCCTTTCCAAACAATGCAGAAGCTCTACACCCACACGATCGTTATATCATGTCTATGTGTATATATATATATATACATGTGCTGATTTATCACGTGTTCACTTGTTTTTTTTCAGCTGCATACATTATCGACAGATGTGTATTTTCCTTCTTTTCTCTCTGTGTGTACATATACATACATACGTATATATAGTGTCTGCATATAATAGTGTGTATATATATATGTATATATGTATATATGCGTGTACATGGACCCATATACCGATTATTACGTGCTAGGCTCTGGACACAAGTTCAGGGGTTCTTGCCGGCAAGAGGCCCTGCTCGAGGGACCCTGCTCAGGGGACCCAGCCTTTGTCCGCAAGCGGGTGTTTCAAGGTTGACGCTTCTTGGAGTCCAGTAGGGTGATCTGAGAGACGTGTCCCGTCATTAATCTGGGTTTTCTTCTGGATGACTCGTCCCCACAAAAGACGGGCTCCGAGATGAGCATGAGGATCACCGAACATCTGACAGACCCTCGCTCTAATCCTTTCCTTCTTCCGATGGCCTGCTCACTATAGTCCTTTGGGCTTGATTCGCCAGTGAATCAAGCCACCCTTGGGATGTTGATGATAGGGATCCACAGCCTGTGTGCCACTGGAACCCCCACCACTTACAGAGGTCTTTTCGCCCGGCCCAGTGTTCACTTGAAAGTAACACTGAAGGCCCGGGCACTGGGCAAAGTATCCGCCTTCCATTTGAGGACTTACGAGGCATCTGAAATGCTCAGTGCGTTTGCTGGGTGTTGGCCGACAAGGAAAAACACGGTGCAAACCTAGCAATCCCGAAAGGTTGGCGCAGCATCACGGCCTGATGCCCGGCGGAAACCAAAGTGTGAGCCCCTGGCGAGATGCAGCCCCTTGTGAACCCGTTCTGCCGAAAGCTGACGTCATTGATTGAGAAGTTTCTTCGAGGATGTGATCTGGCCAGGGATTCATGTACATAGCTTTGTGCCAGATCCGGGAGGCGGCAAGAAAAAAGGCCAGCGTCATGACATGGTTGCAAGCAGCCCTTGTATCGTCTGACAGTATTCATTTTTTAGGGTTCGGGATACGATCCCAAAGTACAACTACAGTTTCATATACGATCTTAAAGTGGGTTCTGGATACGGTCCCAACTACAACTACATTTTCATATACGATCTGGTCTTGGAGACCGTGCTGGAATCGTAACCGGAATCGTACTTGGAGCCGTACTTGAAATCGTACCTGAAATTGTACTTTCCTTCTTGCAAAAGTACGACTCCACGTACGATTCCAAGTAGGTAACCGAGATTACATTTGAAGTCGTCGGGAAGCTGCACTTGTACCCAGAACCGTACTCGATATTGCACGTCGAAACCATTGATATTCAGAATCGTATACGACACTGTACTTAGAAGTCGTATTGGGATCTGCACTTGTACTCAGAATTGTATGCGGTAGTGTACTTTGAAAGCGTACTGCAATCTGTTCTTGTACTTTGCAAGTGTACTTGAATCTATATTTAAACCCTAAAAATAAGTAATCCTTGATTTACAAGGATTGGTTGTCCAAAAAATGTCATAAGGCCAGCGAGGATCGAGGGTCCTCCTGATCCTGTTCTAAGCTACAGAAGCCTGGGGTTCAATCTTCAATACTGCAAGTTCAACCCTGGAACCCGAAACCCGAAGTCTCAGTCGAGCACCTCTTAGTCCGCCGCAAGTAGCCCACGTCTTGCATGGATCACAGCCCTTAGACCACGCAAAAACGCTACCCCCTACGAGAGCATTGCAGAAATGCCGGAAAAAGCTCGTGTTCGCTCAGGCTCGTCAGCCTCAAGGCAGACGTGAATGCTCCAGATCCGAAAGGCGGCCATTGGGATTCAGCACTTGACACATTTGGGTCTTGTGGTCCAAGTAAGGCAAGTTTGATGTGGGCTTTAAAAAATCCAGCCGACGAAGGCAAAGTCTTCTCTGTGCAGGTGATACACCACTCATCATGGCTGCAACAACTGGCGACGTGGCGGCCGCTTTGTCGCATTTCTGGGCCTGGCTCCGGCTAGTGTTCGGGTTTTTTTACGGGCTTTGGATTTTGAGGTCTCTAGGGCTTGTGAAGAATGTGCAGGAGCCGCACTTCGGGCGTGCCAACATGACCTGCAAGGATTCTGATTCTGGGCTTGGCTGTAGGCAAAAAAACTTGAAGAGACCCGGTCGCAGCACAAACAACACCGCTAGCCTGGCATTTGACCCTCCATCCTCAGTGGTTTCTACCATTATGCCAGCGTGGACGCCAAACGGTGAGAGACCGCGTGAGCCAGCAGTCGAAAAGCGACGGCAGCTTCGCATTTCGTGAGCCCAGACATCCCAAAAGCGAGGACAGTTTTTGCATTGCGCGAGCCCAGATGTCTATAAGGTCAGTGAGGCAGGTGGCAAGCAAAGCGCGATGGAAGTTTCGAGGACGACGCACGCGGCCACGCGCCGCGCCTAGGCGAGAGCGCGGTGTTCGTCCAACATGCGAGCCAGCTTCGAGAAGCCGTGATTTGGGCCGCTCCCGGCGCTGCATCGACCAAGTCATACCCTTGACGTTGGAACTCCTTAGTGTTGACGCACTGTTGGGGAAGAGCCCTTGAATCCTGCAGGACGCAACGCCAGCAGAAAAGATTTCTGAACTTACCAAGGCCCCACCCAGAGAAAACTTCGAGTTGTGGACCCCAGCTGCCGCAGCTGTAAGCAAGGCTATCACAAGGTCACCAAGGTTTCGAGGTCACAATGCCAGTAATTAAACGTCATTTGCTAGGAGGGGGAGGTTCATCCGATCCTCGTGTCGGCCCAAAATTGTCATGCCTGCTTAAAGACGTCAAGCTTTGAAGCTCGGAATTAAGGAGTCCTGCTGTAAGAACTTGAAAAACGTTCTCTAGGCCCGTTGCAGGAGAACCTGCTTGTTTCCGGATTGCCTGTTTTGAGCTGATGGTTAGACAAAGGCCTGACTGCATGGTGGGCCCTTTTCTGTACGTTTGGGTTCCGGGCTCGGTTCAGGGGTCATGGACTTCTTTTCAGTAGTGAAGCGGTCTGCGAGCTGCCGACTCCTAAAGCGACCCTGTGCTGCAACTGCTCTAGTTATTCTATTACAAGGTGGCCCACTTCATGTATCTGCATTCCTCTGGCTGTGAACCCCGCGATTCAATTCATCTAGGTGGGTCCTGAATCCCGAATGCCTGCAGGCCAGCATGACCATCACTCCGAATTGCAAAGCTAGTCTCGGCTAGTGTTTTTCTCTTGGCTACACACCAAGCACCTGAGCACGGTTTTCACCCTGGACGACCCTCAATGCAAAGCACTTCCACCCGACTCGATGCCCGAAAAAGTCAAATTTGTAGGTGGCCCCTATGTTAGATATTGTGAGGCAGGGCTTTCACCAAAGTAAGTTTTCCCTGTGCCTCTCGATAGCTTTCGCTAGAAGACCCAATCTCCAGACCCTCTCATAAACCGATTTCGGAAGCCCCAAACCGTCCAGGCTATCGCTGCGTTGATCGAGGCGCTTGCTGTCACTGTACCATTCTTCCTCTGTTAGGGTTCTATGCTTCGGGTTGGGCGTGAACTCTGACTCTTGCCTACGTGCCTGTAGTCCGATGGCTATTTTGCAACTTTGGCTGATACATAGACTGTGGTACCACAGCAACATAGAGTCCAGCACTTTCATGCACTTTCGGGTTCGGGATCCATGAGATTGGAAGAGTCAGGCCGTCGAAGCGTTTCGTTCCTGAGTAGTCTAAAAAACTGTGCCTCAACACGTTCAACATGACCCTCATCTATCCCACCTAACTTGCTAGCGAAGAGGCCTTCTGCCCAGGATCATGAATTGCCCTGCCTTGCAAGGCGGGGGCGTCCCTCACGCAGAAGAACAAGGATGGGCGGCAGGTACCTGCCCCAGAGCCAGATGCCAAATTGTTAGCGCCCCTACAATTGGACTGTGCCAAGCATAGCAGTTTTTCCGTAGCTGGGAGCCCAGTTGCAGCAAAGAGACATCTTGGGAGTCAGGGCTTCAGAATGGCGTGTCAGTTGCCAGGGGTTCTTGCTTCGTTTATGGGCTTAAGTTGTTCAGGCTTCGGGATTGCCAAGATATTTGCCAAGCTGATTCGGCGAAGGTCTCCCCAGCCCACGTACTCAGTCCCCGTCCGAGATTTTCTTCCGGACTCCGCCCTCCTTCTGAGCCAAGCCTTCCCTTTACGTGCCGCAAGCCGTGAGCCATCTTGAAGATGCCGCACACGCTTGACGCGATGCAGCCCGCGCTACCTGACTGCCTTGGCTTGGGGCGAAGGATGGCGAAGGGAGTATAAGGTTGATGTAATTGAAAAGTTGCAGGGTGTCCGCGGGATCTTTGCTTGTGGCCGTTGCGGGGGCCTTCGGGTCTCGAATCTCCATGCACGTCGCAGCTCTATAGATATCTGTGCTTCTGAGGCCTGAGATGTCTTGAAGTTCGAGTTTGGATCTTTGCACGGAAATGCCGCATGAAGGCCCACATAACCGACCCAAGAAGCATGGGATCAATCTTGAAGCAACCCAAGGCTGTGCTGTGCAGAAAAGCAGGAAGATCAGGCGCCGGCTGTTCTTCTTCGGGGCTTCTGAGGGTCTCTCCTTTCTTCTTCGCTCCTCACTCGTTTTTCCGCCCACTTCCAGGGAGAAATCTCCAGGTGCTTTGCTTGTCCATTCAGTTCTACAGAGTTGCCATGGAGCTTCCAATGTCGGTCGGTCATCCCACAATGCCCAAAGCGCGCCCAAAGCCCCCAAAAGCGCTGGCGGGATTCGAGTTGCAGGATGCAGAGGCCTTGCAAGGCACTTGCTGGCACCTCTTGCAGGCTTGCAGGTAGCTTTCCTGGGAAGTATCTTGAGGCAGAGGTGCCTCCAAGCGGATCATGCACAAAGAGGTTACAGTTCCATAAAAGGCATACATCCCAGACATTCCATGGCTAGAAGGTCCAAGCAGTCCTCTTCTGCAGCACCTAGTCCAGCACTAAAGCCGGCAACCCCTACTACCCCTACAGCAGCGCCGTGCCCCTTGAAACCTCTGCCTTGTGGACATTCGTAGAATCTCTGATGCTAAGCCACTATAAGCTCTCCTCAAAGACTGCTGAAAAGGAGAGCTTTCTCGATGTTCTAGCACGGCGCCATGAGGAGCTCTTGCAGAGGCCGCCTGCTCTCTCATTGCACTCGACGCGTGAAGCGAAAAAGATGCACCTAAACACCTGGTTGCTGCACTTGGTTTTAAGAGTTTTAAGTGTCTGTAGAAGCCAACCAATTGCAAACGTTGTCGTGGGAGTACACTGAGTACACTTGCTGAGATCTTGAAAGTGTTCCACGCCTATCGTGCACACACCTATGTCAGGACATGGGCCAATGGGGAGGGGGGGGGGATAAGGAGCGGCACCTTGTGAAACTCTTATGGTCTATATTGCTGCACGCTCCCACAGACCCCCATGTACTTTTCATGAAGGCGTTGCATGGCACATGGTTTTATAGCCGTTAGTGTGAGCTACTAGCGGAGGTCCAGGGAAGCTCCGCAAGTCAATGTTTCTTGTCAAGCCCCATTCCCTTTACGCGAAGCCAGCGCCACAATGGCATCCAACGTACATGTACATGCAGGATGGCACGTTCCTCACACAATGCACTTTCAGATTCAGGAAGGAAGGTCCACTTCACTTTGCAATGTACCTGCGAGGTTTGACGCGCAGGAAGCCTTGCTGTGCCATGCCGAGAGCAGAGTGGACTCGCTTTTTGTTATGCTTAGTGGAGAATCTTGGGAAACCTGAGATGAGAAATTTGGATTCGGTTATCAGCTTCAGGCGCAGGGAGAGACCGGGGACGCAGGGCTGGAATGGCGTTCTACAGCTGTGTGTGACCAGCCGTCAGCCGTTGAAATGTTCAGAGTCAGTGGATCCGGAAAATTTAGGGTTCTTAGCCCTGAACTGACGCCAAACTCTCTCAAGCCCCAATGCCCTGAACTAGAGCCCGGTCCTAAACCCTAAACCCGAAACCCGAAACCCTAGATGCAATGGCCTCTCTTGAATCGGTGTTCCGACGAGTGCTCAGGTTTCGGCTGACAGAGCGCGGCTCCGCAAAGGCTGGCGGGGCCACGAACCCGAAGCCCCAAAGCCCTCCAAAAATGCCCCATTTTCTTGGCCCCTGCGAAGTAGCATGGAAGCCGGGCTTCAGGGATTCAACGCATTTTGGGGGGACCTTAGGCCCTTAGGCCTGGGCACAGCTGGAGTTGAAAAGGACATCAGCTATGGGAGCAAAAACTCGCGGAACCCTCAGAAGGGTCCTTAAACTTAGGGTCGCTCCAGGTGGCTCAAGCTTTGCACTTGTGTGCACCCCCCAATTGGCCAGTCCGGCCAAGAGCATCTTAGCTGGTTCGTTTTACAGCGCAGTCCAGCCAGGCAACAAACAAAACGAGACCTCTGCACAGCTGAAAACTCGGAACCCCAAATCCCGAAGACTCCTCGACCGTTCCCAGTTTCCAAGCCTTGCGCAGGGCAACTTTCTGCCCGAAACGTCGATTCCAGAATTGTCACTGGCCGCCGCTTGGCTTGAGCTTGGGCCCACGCTGGACATCTTCGTGCCTACCCAAAATGAAGTCCAAATGAAGCCCCAAGCAGCCACCGACACCTGAAGTCACATTCCTTTCCTTTCCTCGTGCGAGTCTGAACGGAAAGCCCTAAAGTCAAAACTCAAAATCCTGAAAGTCCGAACCCCAAACCTCAAACCCCAAACCCCAAACCAACGATCTGAACCCTTATGATACATGATGATACCCTACGGGACATGGAGGTCGACCGCCGCCCCACGGATGGCTCTGTCACTCTGTCATCATTGCCGGGCTCTGGCGGAGGCCACCCCCCCCCAAAGCCTTGAGGGCTCGAAAGGATGTGTCAGGAGTGGTTCAAGACGTTCAAGAGCTCTGGCCTCCTCGTCAGACTTCTGACCCTAAGCCCCCCTCAACAACCTCGCGAGCGACTGAAAGGTGCCTCGGTTAGGCTTCCGACTTCTTCCGACTCCCCCTATTTCCTCAGGCTTGAAAACCTCGGTACGGTTCTTGCACAAACAGGCTACTTCCAGGGTGGTCAGTGACTGAGTGAGAGGGAGAGAGTCTCTGTCTCTGTGTGTGTGCGTCAACCCTTTACATAGACGTGCCACATGAAACAGCATCCATCAGCATCCAGTAGTCCATAGGATGACGCGCACCAGCTAGACTAGAACCCCGCCCCCCCGCCACGGAATGCCCACGGGATCTCTTGCTGCTTACCTCCCAAGTTACCCATGCGTTGTGCAGGCCGGACGCAGTCGTTGTTGCTGAATCCAAGCACTGACGTCAAAGCCGACTTACAACGTGAAACGTCCGGACCACCGACGTCCATGCACGGCTCCCTGCAGAGTTCCATAGCTCTTGGCCCAATGAGGACCGCGGGGAGCTTGCAAAAGTGGAAGGAGTTGCAAGGAGTGCAGAGCAGCTGGAGCTTGAGTTCCTCCCGAGCCCTTCGTTCCTGGAAGGAAGCCGCGGCTCTTCACGACCTTTGAGCAGTCCGACACAGCGAGGCGAGAAAGTTGGCTCTCCAACCCAGGTTTGTTTTAACTCCTGCAGGTGTTCTTTGGTGTTCACCAAGCCCGGGGATCAAGAAAGTGAGAAACAAGAACAGCTCGAGGTTTTCGCAGTTGTATCACTGTTGTATCACTTTGGAAGATCTAAATGCAGTAGCACTTCCATCACTTCCTTATGGGGCCTCCAGCGTCTGGAGCCCCGGATGCTCGCGAAATGGAGTGCCGGATAGTAAAAACGAACGAAGTCTGCCCTGAAAGGCAGTCCTCTTGAAAACTTTTTCCAGGGACCTGTTAAGTCACCAAGCTGCCCTCAAAAGCCGCTCTCGACAAGGAGGGAGGAGGCGGCAAGCGCTGAGCGGCGGCGAGTCACGAGAGCGACGGACATGCCAGAAGAGGAGACAGCCCAGCTTACCAAGGGGTGCTGTGCTTCTAAGAGGGTTAAGAGGGCTAGATGATACATCTAGATGAACAATTCTTCAAGGGCTCCTCATCGGCTCCTGTTGTAATTTGCAGCCCTTCATGTTCATGAAAGCAAAATGAACACTGTCAGCTGGGGATGTGAGAATCCCGGGCCTTGAGTCCAGCCCCGCCGGACTCTCCAAAGCTGAACTGCAAGTTGGTACTTGACGCCATCGTCCAACATGGCTTCCGTGCTCGCCGTGCTCACAGTCTTGTCAGATATTTCAGTGCTCACAACGGGGTACATGACTGCTGTGAAGTCCTGTTGGTCTATGTCCTCGAGCACTCGTTGCGATCCCAGGTTGAAGCAGATGTTCAGAGACTAGGTCGCCGTGCCGCAATAAACATGTCTCAATTCTTGCGGGCGGAACCCTTCAATCCCAGAACCCAAGCCTTGATTCGCAAACCTCTCGGATTGTCCCGGGTCTCTGGGCGACACTGTCGACACCCGAAGAGCCCCGAGGAGAGAACGTCCTGCTCTCAGAGCACCTTGGAGACGTTTTGCAGTGAGTCCAGTGTTTTTAGGTGTTCGGCGAAGGGTTTGCAACGGTACTGCGAGGACTGGGGACATTGGCAATGCGTTGCGGTTCTGGCTTTGGGGAGTCGTGCTTCTGTGCGTCTGTTTGTTGGACGACCTTCCGTATTAAGTATGAAATATGTATGCCGCTGTATGCGAGCAGAATCGCAAATTCGCCATGAGTCCAAGGGCAACCTCAGTAATATCTCTGGTGTCGCGTTTCCTTGGTGCGGGAACAGCTTGTTCGGCCTGCTTAGCGCAGCCCAATTCCAGCAAATCATGTGATGCTGCCACACGTGTTGTAGCAGCTCCGGGCCTCACTTGCATGGTAGTCGTTTAGGCGAGTTGG